AATGCATTTCAATGGATATAAATAACTAGCACATTTACAGAGTCTCAGGACTGGGATCCAATGCAATAACCTTCCAGAAATAGGATCCCCTGTTTCTATGGACACATAGAATTGTTATAATTGGTTCTAAGCACTCCCCCTTTGCATCATAATAGGCTTAAATGCTGCCTCACTCCTATGCAGTATTATATCCACTACTAACCACCAACACTCTTTATTGAAATGGAAAGGGAATTTTATCCAATGGCTTAGATTAGAATCTTTGGAAAAATTAAACATTTTCTCCTGCTTCTTAATTCAAAATCAAGGCTATGCCTTAACAGAACTCACTTGGCAAATGAAAGCCCATATCGGTGAAGATTCTCAGTCATCCAGGTAGAATTGTCTGCAAGTTGACTCATGGCAGCTGGACTTCTTTTCTTGTTGTTTCGAAACGTTTCTCTGCCTATCCAAGTAGTTTCTTCCATCTGAAGAAGATGACTGATGGTTCTCAATTAAGTCCATTGCGTTGTGGCTAAAACCTACCTCACCTAAATTCAACCAAATCGCTTTAAAGATACAACAGATTATTAGGCATGCAAATAATTTTGTGTACACTGGGCTCCCTGCAAAGCATTGGCAGCTTTGTTGAGTAGCCCTTAGAAAAGGCAGAATCACAGCTTATCTGCCTTTGGCCCACTATATTATGAAGACAAGGCAAAGAAAAAGGCATACCCAATGGAAATTACAGCATGATGTTGAAATGTTTTTGATAATACCATCTGGGTGACTTATTATTTATTCCTTTCTACTAGGTTAGCATGCTAGCTGTACAATCTTTGAGATATGTTCAGTGCATGTAAACAATCTGGTTTATTGGGCCACAGGTTTGTGACTTGAATCTTCTGCTTATGACCACATTCAGCTTGCTGTGAATGTTTTCTTACAAGGGCACTGTGGTAAGAATGCACCCCCCAATCTTTTTTTACTATTCTCCCAAATCACAAGAATAAAGCTCAGGAAATGAAATATAGAAACAATATTTCACTCATGAACTTGAGTAACCCCAATCATTTAGAAAAGCAGAAACATTGACTCAAACCTGTCTATTCACTGAAAGGGACACTAGAGGCAATAGACAGACTAAAAATAAGAGGATAAAAACAATTACATTTGCTTGACAGGTTTAAAACAAAGGGAAGCTGATAATTAAGACCCATCGTGAGCCTTTGTGAAACAAGTAAAACCAATCAAATAATAAAAGCATACAAAGCAATCCTCAAAATTATAAAATACTGTAAACTGTATAAAAATCCTTGCACTCACCAAGCTAATTTGTCAGCCACCCCAGAACCATGCTGCTGTCATGAGTTTCTGGCTACCACATAAACAGAGACCTTCTTTCCTGAAGCCTGCCTCCATTTTATTTCCAGCGTCTTTCTCCCAGTTTGGAACTGGACTTGATTTTAATTCCAACAGCATTAAAGCAATTGGCAGAGATGGTGGAGGGGCATCTCATAGGCTTGGAAATAAATGTAGCTGGTGTGTGTTGGGGAGGGAGATTTTTTAGCTTGCTCTATCAGTGTAAGTGTAAGTGGTCCTGATTGGGGTATTGTTTGCTTCTTGATTGTTGGTCTAATGTTAATCTTGGTTTTCCTATTTTTTTTATTCTGTCTTCTCATTTCCACACTTTCCATGAATAAATATTGCACTTTGCCTACTTTGTCCAATTCTCTCTAATACTGAATCATTTTCATTGTTTGAGTAGGCCTGCTGTTGACTCCTTATCTCAAAGAGATGGGAGCATCAGGGCCTCTATTCTTTTATCACAATATATTATACATCTAATAGTGGTAACACATACATATTTCCTATTTTTAAATAGATCATATCCAGAAACGGTTAACCTTGCCAAAGAGCCATGTCAGCAAGCCTACCGCTACTAGCCCAGAAAAGCAAATTGTTAAGTTGATGGTGAAGTCTTTTTTTTTTTTAAATAAGTTTAACATTTTAAAAAACTTTTGGAAATTTTTATTTCTATATTGGAAGAGACAGCCTGCTTTGGTTCAACACAGCTTCCATATAGGTTCAGTTGGGAAGTCGCTGCTATATACCCTATTTATCCCTGCCTAAAGAGAGGCATGTTTCCGATATTTATTGCAGGGGATTCTTTGAAGGTATCTGATTGGAATCTGACAAGGTTAATTTGTTAAAGAAAGATCCAAACTAGAAGAAAGGAGAAATTTTCTCTTACTGAGAGAAGTGAGAACTATTAATCAATGGAACTTGAGTTGCAGATGCTCCATCACTGGAGGTTTTCAAAAGTAGATTGGATAGCCATTTGAGCAGGATAGTATAAGGTCTCTTCCCCTGAACAAGAGGTTAGACTAGAAGACCTCCAAGATCCCTTCCAACCCTATTATTCTATGTTTTATGATCAATCATGCTTTCTTAAATCCCAGACTGCCAAAAAATGATGCAGTTGCAACCATTTTTGTTTGCTTTTTTTTTTTAATTCAAAAGGGGTTGAATTGAATTTTGTTTCCTTTGAACCTTGAATCAAAACATTGAATTAAATTATTCACTGTACAATCTCAGCCCTCAAATTCCAATCAGATTTTGCTTGCTTCCCATATTCCTATGAATTTCCCACAGGTATGAGCAAACCAATGTTTTGTACTCTTTTGTTTTATTAAGTTCATAACTGAGACTCTGAAGCTCAGTACAGTCCCACAAAGACTCCATAAGAACGCCATAATTTCAAGAGTGGTATTCTTGGCAGGGGTGCTTTCAGAGCTCAAGTGTGACGGAGAATGCAGGATACTGCACAGAAATTATATAGCTTTTGATGGATGGTGTCATTGGCAGCAAATGCTACATGCACCTTCTATCTGTGCAGCACCAGAGAAGGTATAATGTACAGCTTCTGAAATCTTGTCCTTGCTATCTTTTCAGATGTCTTGATGCTTCCGTCCCTTGGAAATTAGTCAAAATAATAAGGAATAAATTGCCCATTTTTCTCAGGTCATTTTTCCAGCTTCCCTCCCTACAACACTCTATTTTTATTACTCAAAGCTTCACAGTGCAGCTTCTCTTGTCACTTATCTGTTCATCCTAATTCTGCATTATGTACGCAAAGTAACAAAGAATGCATCCCTTCAACCAAGCAATTCACATTATCCCGGCGTGCTTTTGACTTCTCAGCCTTCTCTTCCAGTCCTGAGTGAACCTTCTTCAAGTTGGGTGACTTTGGTTTTCCAGCTTTGGCATTGTTCTGTGGGAGAAGGCTAAGAAGGAACACAAAGCAAAGCAATCCAAAACAATATGGTTGATTCACTTTACTCTCAGAAGTGGGGCTATTTTATTTTAGGAACCAGCTTCAAGAGGGCACTGCGTTTGAAACTTTCTGAGCATAGCCCACCTTCACAGCTTTGTGCAGTCAAATGTATAAGCAAGTTAGAAAGCATATGCACCAATATGAAAACCTGGGTTCCTAAAGTAAAAGGATCCGATTCTTTAGATATATTTTTTAATAATGAGAACGTCATTATTTTTTCCCCTGACCTCTAATCAGTCACCCATTACAGTATTAAGGTCACTTCATTTATTGGGTGATTGCTAGGTTTGGAAAGTTTTATTGAGTGTTCATGAAGAAATGTATCTAAATTAAGTCAATTTTAATTGCTTGACCTTAATGACATGCTTGACATCTGAAAACTCTAAAATAGGTACCAAGATTTCTCTTTGCAGAAGCAGTGCTAATTCCTTCAGAAAAGCAGGCGCGTCAATGTGCTTTGATACTAAATCTAATAATGCATCATACTAATTTGCCCAGATAAATTATGCTAATCTATCTATTATCTTAAATCCCATTGGGATCCTCCTTTTAAAAAAATAATTGCATTGCCTATTGAACTGAAAATTATAAAGCAGCCAATCTTGGAGATATGCTATTTTTTATTTTTTTTTGCTAGAATCCCATTTGTCTGATGATGTTCACTACTACATTTTATCTTCTGGTTGTCATATCATAAATAACACTTTGCTGTGACAAGCAGTAGTACTGAAAGCTGCAGTATTATTACAAAGATCTCAAAAACAACACGGTGTAAATAGAATTATTCCAGTAGATATGACATTTAAATCTAGAACTTTTGCCATTTAAAAAATTCACCATTTTTAAATCCAAGCAACACTGTCATTTTTTGAAATGTCTTACATTTTTAAAAGTCCAAGGCCATTCATGAAAGGTACCGGTTCAAAAGTCTATCACAACTGAGGGTAGATTTTATATAATAAAAACAGTGCTGCAGAACCTGGTTTTCTGTTTTGAGTTCATTTTATTTAACAGAATAACATAATTGGAAGGGACCTTGGGGGGTCTTCTAGTCCAACCCACTGTTCAACACCTAATACACCTTCCTATTTTCCCCACAATGCTGTAAGGTGGATTGGTCTGAGAGGGACTGGACCAAAGTCACCCAACCTGCTTTCATGCCTAACGCAGGACTAAAACTCACTGTCTCCTGGTTTCTAGCACGATGCCTTACCCACTATACCAGGGGTAGGCAACCTTGGCTCTTTTATGACTCGTGGACTTCAACTCCCAGAATTCCTGGGAATTGAAGTCCACGAGTCATAAAAGAGCCAAGGTTGCCTACCCCTGCATGGCTGGCTCAGGAATTCTGGGAGTTGAAGTCCACGAGTCATAAAAGAGCCAAGGTTGTCTACCCCTGCACTACACCAAACTGTCTCTACCCTGTTGTTCTGCTGCAAATGAATTCTAAGTATGTAGAGGCAGTAATAAGGAGAAACCACATTATTTGTCAACATTGCCTTTACGAAGCAAAGCCCAACAAAGCTGTTTTTCGTGGTACGAGATATCCATCAGTTTGGGCAGGAGAGTTCATTTGCATGTGAAATCACATTAATTAAGCATCACAGAGGGAAAAAATGCTGAAATCTGGAATGTAGTTTACAGTACAAGCATCAGAAATCTAAATGTGCACAGAAATCTGAACTTCTGACAAGATGTTTATTAAAAAGGTAAGACAGCAACTCTTAAGCTGTGTGAAAACAGTATGGAGAGCTCCGCAGAAATTAGGGATGGGGGGTTGGAAGTATTTAAAAATGCTGTATTTGTTCATCGGTATTGCTCAATGATACTTAAAATTTCTACTTTTGTAATAAAATAAGTTTGTAAAGAACATATGTTAGCCATTTCATTTTGTTATTCCCTAACACTAAAGATAAGTCATTACTGCATTTTTTAATGCTGAACACGGTTTCCATGTCAATTAAATCGTTGTTTTTGTCATTATGGCTGGATTCCTAATTCAATGTTTCTTGATGGCCATGACACTAGTTGTTAAAACTGCTTAAATATAAGATGGATTCTGCTACACCATGATCTAAACAATGTTTGCTCAGTGGGAATAAATCTTTATTCAAATAAATACCTAAGCAATTATGTAATGGACAATATTACAGTAAAGGGAATTACTAAAAGAAAAAACGTTGTAAGAACATTTTGAGAAAATTTTATCTGTTTTATACTAGACTGCAATACTGATATTTGTCAAAGCTATTTTCTAAAACAAGCTGCTTCTGATGAACTACTGGAATTCTCAATTTTAGCATAAAAAGCACCTTCCCACATGTATATAAGATGACAGAACTATTTACAAAGTATATATAAAATGAAATAAACACAATAACTTGAGCCTGGATAGCCATTTGGATTGTAAAGAAAAGGAAATAGAGGATTATAAAAATGCTGAAAAATTATATATGGGATCCATTTTGTGTTTGCTTTCAGATTAAATATTATTGTGAGAAATGTTCTATTTTGCTAAGTTGCTAAAATGGGAAATGTTTATCTGTTTTTTAAATTTGTTGCTGTATATTACTGTGGGAAAAGAAGTTAATGATTTCACTTTTATCAATAAAAATTTCTGAACTACAAAAGTTTTCAAAAACAACATTTTGCAGGTTATAGGACCAAAGAGTTTTACATTTTAAACAGCATAATTAGCTTGTTTGAAAGCTGAAGTGTTTACAGGTCAATGTAAAAATGTATTTAGGAGTTCTACAAAAATAAACACAAAAAGTACACTTTGTTATTGTTGCTTCAGACAATAATTCAAATATTAATCTTGAAAGACAGCAGCCCAACAGTTGATTTCTGGTCCCAGTTTAAACATCCCAAATAAAAGCTTTAAGTTCGGCTCATTTAAGTCCAATAATTAAGATAGTCAGCTCAAAACACAGAAATGAGGGCGAAGACTCCATATAATAAAGCACAGGGATAAGCTACTAGAAGTTGTTGTCCTTCCATTGCTAAGGCTGAAATGAAGAGCTTGGAGGCTGAAAAACTACACCAGCCAATAATTCCAGCAGCAAGAATAATTCCCATCATGCCCCTGAAAACAACAATAACGGGAAAGTAATCAAGCACTGATAACATCATATAACAATGTATATATCAGAACAGTTCTATCTATTACAGTGATGGCGAACCTTTTAGAGACTGAGTGCCCAAAATGCAACCCAAAACCCACTTATGCATCGTCGAGTACCGGCTGGGTGTGGCCCATTGGGTGGGTGTGGCTGCGGTGGTAATGGCAGACTGGGTGGGACTAAAAAGTTCAATCAATCAATTCCAACTTTGCAAGATCTTTTTTTTTCCCACGAGAAGTTGAAATTAACTGATTGAACCTTTTTTTTTTTTGCATATGGCGACGGAGGCCTAAAGCAAAACGGTTTTATAAAACCCAGCTGAAGGCCTAGGACTGGGGCGACGGCGCACGTGCCCACAGAGAGGGCTCTGAGTGCCGCCTCTGGCACCCGTGCCATAGGTTCGCCACTATTGATCTATTATATTCAGCTATTAACCAAGCATTGGGCCAGAGAGCAACAGGAAAGAACAAGCAACAGCTTAACTTGCAACATATCTAACTATCATTGGTTTGTTTAAGATTACTCAAGAACAGAAACCTGCCAAGTGCGCTATCCAATTGTACAGGTTTCAAGCAGTAAACTATTACCTGTCCAAAACTCTTGTTAACATTCCTAATTCAAATGTTCAAAAGCCTCCACCTAGACACTATTAACAAAACATCTTGCCATAGAACTAGTACTTATATGGATCTCAGTAAATTTGGCAAAATGTACACATACCTGAATATCATTCAGCTTTATGTAACATTTTAGAGTGTTAAATTACATAACTATGATATTGTTCTGAATTCTGGGACAGAATTCAGATAGTTTTCTTTTAATCAGCTTCAGAAATTCACCCACTTTAGTAAGTCGCTCTAAATAATTTTTCCTGACTACTGTAAAATGTTAGGGAATTGTTGCAAAGAAAAAGAAAAAAATGATGGAAGCTTGTAAAGGTAATCCTCGACTTACAACCATTCGTTTAGTGACCATTCAAAGTTCTAACGGCACTGAAAAAATATGACTTGTGATCATTTTTCACAGTTACAACTGTTGCAGCATTGCCGTGGTCATGTGATGAAAACTCAGATGCTTGGCAACTGACTCATATATACGAACGGTTACAGTGTCCCAGGGCCATGTGATCACCTTTTGCCACTTTCTGACATGCAAAGTCAATGGGAAGCCAGAGTCACTTAACAACAAAATTACTAACTTAACAACTGCAAGTGATTCACTTAACAACTGTGGCAAGGAAGGTCATAAAATGAGTTCACTTAACTATCTTGTTTAGCAACAGAAATTTTGGGCTCAAGTGTGGTCATAAGTTGAAGACTACCTGCACTTTGTCTTATAGCATTCCAGTTTCTTATTTACTTATAATTAAAATGATTTTGAAAAGAAGCAAATGAAAGGGGATAGGGAACCTTGTCGATGGGAAAGGATGCATCCGCAGGACCAGACTGCCCACTTCTGGATTAAAGGATCCAGTACAAAATATTGTGCTGAGAAGCTACTTTTCCATAGTTTTAAACTAAAATGTTTGTGGTACTTGCATTTTGAAAGTGCTGCAGTATCACATACTTTTTTTTACTGGCTACATTTTATTTGGATTGAAATGTAGAATTCTAAAGCATGTCCCAAAAAAGTTTTTCTTTATCTATAAGCAACCTAAGAGATTGCAAAAAAGAGTAAAAATTAAATAATTTTTCCAGTTTTTTTATTTGATCAAAAAGTGTTCCTTTCTAGGTAAATAGGACCAAAAAATACGAACACTGTATAAATAAAAAAAGGAAAAAATCAAATTCAGTTTAAAATGATATATAGTAAACCATTTTTTATTCTACCTAAATTCACATTTGCTATAACCCTTCATTTGAGTACACTTTTTTTTTATGGTGAGCAATAATATACAGTATCACTAAATGGCATGGTAATGGTCTTTGGTATTACTTACTGTAGGGAAAATACAACTGCAAAGCTTGAAAGTATGATCATAGGAAGAAGACAATATCCTAGGACACTTGCAACACAACCAAATGAGACCCCTGTCATACTCATTAGATTCAGGAGACAGAACATTCCTAGACATCCAATTGCACTAATTCCATATACATAGCCAAACTGAATTTTTCCAGCCTAAAAAAAAGAAAAAACAAAGGGAGAGAGGGAAGAATACATTAACGTTCTGGATATGTTTTAGGGGAGATTTTGCAAAGAGATAAGTAAAGCATACAAAATAAAATTAAGTGAGTACCAGATACCTTTTCAATAACATTTCTTATACATTTCTGAAATTTTAGAAATAAGATTTTAGTATTATTGCACATCCATGTTTCAGACGTTTTACATTATTTAAAAATAGGTTTTCCCACATAAAATTAAGTGTTACCATTCCACTGCTTTATATAATTCAACCAAGTTTAGATGGAAATACCAGCAATACAAATATCTGTCTAGTAAACCAATTTAGAAGTGAAATACAGCTATTTGGATCCAGAGTAAAAAAGGTATTTTGGCAGGGGCATGGGTGTGCTTGCTGAGTTTGTCAGCACCTCCTTAATAACACTGTGTCGTTTCCTGTGTTTGCTCACAGTGGCCACCATGATGTCAGGGAAATAATAGTGAACTACAGTAACGTGCGAAAAAGCTAGTAAACCCTGTTGCCGTCTCCTAAATGCTTTCTTTTTAACGAGGTGTGCCTTAATTAAGTGCCAATAGATGCAATTAGTGTGCCCCATCTCCTCCAAAGCATCCTCTCCTCTTTGAATAGCTGCACATCCCTACAAGCTAGTTTTATACAGACTTTTAACGCAACAGATGAAGCACCACTTAAGTATTTTTAAGGAGCATTGTTTATAAAACTAAACCCAGAGATGTATCATTAATGCCTAAGTCTATATAAAAGCACTATTTCAGATCAAAATCTGAAAGAAAGTATTTTCCAGGCAGGTTTCCTGATTTTTCGCTATGGCGATGCTCTGTGTTTGATGGGGATTTGTCTCTTTATATGTGCGGGTGTGTTTTGCAGGTATACATTGCCCCCCCTTTTTTAAAAAAAATAACTATACATCTTTGAATATTTTAATAATAAATAAAAAAACAGTCTAATTAGATTAATATTTCAATGGTCTGAATCTAAAGAATAGGGATATCCAGAAGGTACTCCTGAAGGTATGGAAGTGCCTTAAAGGTCTATGTCACTTTTCAGATTCAACGTTCTATTTCTTTTAAAAATGAAAACAGCAGAAAGGAAAAAAAGGGAAGGGAGAGGAAACTATAATTTCCTATAGAATTTGGAAGAATTTATATTTCTATAGGAATTTACTGTGTTTCCCTAAAAGTAAGACCTACCCCGAAAATAAGCCTAGCTTGATTTTTGGGGGTGGGCCTAATATTAGTCCTACACCAAAAATAAGCCCTAGTTTTGGGGCGAGGTACACTCCTAAAAATCAAGCTAGGGCGGGGAGCTGCCCCATGCACCCCACACCCGTTTACCGTTGCAGTCAGGTCTTCCATGAATCGATACTTGCCTCCCCTCGCCGGCCCACTTCTTGTGTATCGCCCCCTGGCCTGCATTTCACCATCAAAGGTCTTACGGAAAGGCCTCTGCAGCTGAGAACTGAGCTACAGATTCAATCCGTAGCTTGGTTCTCGGCTGCAGAGGCCTTTCTGCAAGGCCTCTGATGGCAGAATGCAGGCTGGGAGGCGCCGCACACGTCAATCTGGAGCTCCATTCTCAAGCTGCAGAGGCATTTCCTTCGGCTGCAGAAGAAGTGGGCTGGCTGGGTGGGCCTGCTGGTGCCGCTGCCACCGCGAGATGAGACTGTGGACAAGACATCCCCACAAAATAAGACCTGGTGCCTCTTTTGGAGGCAAAATAAAAATGACCAGGTCTTATTTTCGGGGATGGTATACATCACTGGGCCGCAGACCAGGGTTGAGGATCCCTGTTCTAAATTATTCTGCTTTTATGAGTGTAGTAAATGTACTAAAAATCCAGCAATAGTTTTTTTTTCCACCTTGTGGATCAGGGACTAGGCTCCAAATAATGACCATAAGACTGTAACTCACATTCTTCAATAGAAATTATATTCAATCCTATGTATCATTGTTTTTATAAATTACTGATATTTAAATGATCAAGTCATGATTTCTGTTTGCTTTAATCTTGTAACTTTCAAACTGACAGGACTACATCTATAGTAATGAAATCTTACCAACAATAAGGTGGCTCCAAAGGCTAGGCAGAAGACCATAGGCCCTGCCAGATCAGTTTCATTCATAATGTTGCCATCTGCAGCTTTTAATGGATGCAGTACTGTTAAAGTCTTCTGCCAGATATGGTCAAAATTTATTCCTAGTTCTGTAGAACAAATTAAGAACACAGATTTAATGGATTAATCAAATTTAAAGAGTCCTTCTCAATTATAGTTGCATCCCTTGTGAATTACAAAATGTAGAGAATTCAAATAACAATAATTTACAACAGAAAATAACCAAGCACCCAGATAGGAAAACCTACAAAACCAATTAGAGAAATATAAAAAGCATATCAGAAAAAAGGCTCATAACCCACTCTGCCCCTACACCTGCTGAAATAGTGAGATCTTCGGGGTTGTAGAATATATATGTACTAAATTGGAGATCCTCTTAGATAACCAAAAGTCAGAGACCAAGTATATAACTAGCTGCATTAGTAATCTTAATTTGTAAAAGGTCACCCCATCTCAATTTCGTATGTTTTTTTTTCTTTTGCTTCATTTAGTTTTCTTAAGAGATCATGCTACCTAAGTAAATGAAGTGAAATTAAATGCCAAAAATGAAGTAAAATTAAATGTTAAAAAATTCTGTCTTTACATTAACATACATACATCCACATACACTTCATAATCAGCTATGATTACTCCTATGTAGATTTGATCATATATTTTGGCTGACATGGAATTCTGCAATGAATAAAAATCAAACCTTCTAGTAACGGAGGTTCATCCTCAAAATTGCTTCCATAGAAAGATTGTGATGAAGATGGTGTGTATGCTGGTGCTGGCTGAAAAATTTGACCAGTGTACGGCTGTTGAGGCTGCATTATCTCTGGAGGGACATATCCACCTTGCTGAGAATATTCATAGCCACCGTACTGCCTGCAGAAAACAGAACTTAAATATTTATCAAATGAAAACAGAATCTTCTTTGCCATGGAAGCAAGTTTAAGGCACCAGAATATTAGCTAAGTGCCGAAGTGCCCATTCCATAACAAAGGCATCATTGTACACTGATTATCACATTGATACAAACTCTAAATATTCTATATAGTTCCTGAAGAAAATTATTTATTAAATTTGTTTGCTGCCCACCTCACCACAAGAAAATTAATGGAATATATTAATATAAATATTATTTATATAAAGAAAACAGATATATCAATATTTGAAACATATCAAAATTATTTACAGGATAATTCTGATTAAAATTACATGAATTTATTTTACCTTACTTTCTAATATGACAAAATACAATTTCTCACTTTAAATTTGTTATAACTTTCCAACTTATCCAACATTTTTCTCAAATTATTACCAATTAAAACTCAGATATTATAATATAGACCTTCATATCCTCAGATATTATAATATAGTCCTTCTTCCAAGAGAATCTAGACCATTGCCTTGCTTTCCCATCGCTGCCATATAAAATAATTGATACTAGAACATACTTCAGGTTTTGTGACATATACAGTCATCATGTATCTATTGTGACATACAGGGACATTGCCAGACTTAAGGAAGAAGAGTTTTCAGTGTCAGTATTTTCATAAAACTTTCTTGCAAGTAAACAATAATGTATACTGAAAGGGAAATTTTATACTGAAGAATGATTAACCCATGCAACTTTGGATTCAAATATTTTATTTGAATCAATAAACTAATGATAGCTACATTATTTGGTGAATGTGCCACAGATTAAAAAGTACTCTGCCTGTTCATACTTGTTGCATAAAAGAATAATCCAATATGCATTAACACAACATGCAACTAGTATTAGCTTAACCAAGTGCACTTACAACAGTAAGTAATCTTGGTTGAGCATCAGTGAATGCTGCTGTTTGACTCAATTTTTACACACAGCCATTTTCTGAAATTCTTCTGATCCTACACTATGGATTTATCTTAAGATTTTCTTGTTTCCAGTAGATGGAAGTTATTTTGAGAAATGTGAACTTCTAAATAAATAAAACCCTTTAGATATAAAAATGGCATGATTGTCAAATTAAATAAAACTCAACACTTCAGCCAAATGCAAATAACAGATAATAATATATTGGGTATTTGGAACAGTAAAAAAAATATTACTTGCTATATGCTGCTCCTCCTCCAGCATCTCCTCCATATTGTTGTGCTTGATCATCAATACTGTAACTTGTCTGATAGAACTCTGTATTGAAATTATCAAATCCAGACATTGCTATCTGTAAAATAAATATTTCTGTTACTATTTTCTACCAAAGTATGGCCCTTCTATGATGTCTTCATCTACCAGTCACCAAGAGTAAAATACAATCTTTTGGGGAAAAATAATGCAATCAAACATTAAATTATTAGGCTCTTGCACTGCTGTGCATCCAGTCATTTACCGAAAAGGAGAAAAGGACCACAACATTTTATAATATGGCATCTGATTTTCCTCAAACCGCCTAAGGAAAGTAAGATGACCACAATTGAGCCCAAAATTTATGTTGCTAAGTGAAACATTTGTTAAGTGAGTTTTGCCCCATTTTTACTACCTTTCTTGCCACAGTTGTTAAGTGAATCACTGCACTTGTTAAGTTAGTAACATGGTTATTAAGTGAATCTGGATTCCCCATTGACTTTGCTTGTCAGAAGGTCACAAAAGGGGATCCCATGACCCTGGGACACTGCAACTGTCTTAAGTATGAGTCGGTTGCCAAGCATCTGAATTTTAATCATGTGACTATGGGGATGTTGTGATGGTTGTAAGTGTGGAAAACGGTCATAAGTCACTTTTTCAGTGATATTGTAACTATGAACGGTCATTAAATGAACTGTTGTAAGTCGAGGACTACCTGGACCGACTACAGCAGAACCTACATTATTATATTCAAAACTATATTCTTCAATGCTTTCTATCACAGAGACATCATTTGTTAGTGTTGGTGCCAGGCAGCCTTTAAGGATTAGACCTTTGGAGCAGCACAGAACATGGTGATGCTGAATAGAACAGAACAAAATAACAGAGTTGGAAGGGACCTTGGAGGTCATCTAGTCCAACCCCCTGCTCAGGCAGGAAACCCTATACCATTTCAGACAAATGGCTGTCCAGTCTCTTCTTAAAATCCTCCAGTGATGGAGCACCCACGATTTCTGAAGGCAAGCTGATCCACTGGTTAATTGTCCTCAGTGTTAGGAACTTTCTCCTTAATTCCAGGTTGCTTCTCTCTTTGATCAGTTTCCAACCATTGTTTCTTGTCCTGCCCTCTGGTGCTTTGGAGAATAATCTGACCCCCTCTTCTTTGCGGCAGCCTCTCAGATACTAGATACTAGAATACTACTATCATGTCACCCCTATTTCTTCTTTTCTTTAGAGTAGCCATACCCAAGTCCTGCAGCCATTCTTCATATGTTTTAGTTCCACTGGTTAATTGTTCTGTTAAGAAAAATCTCCTTAGTTCTAGGTTGCTTCTCTCCTTGATTAGTTTCCATCCACTGCTTCCTGTCCTGCCCTCAGGTGCTTTGGAGAATAGCTTCACCACCTCCTTGCCACAAAGAAAAACACAGGATCTGAGAATGGAAAAACGTTGGGTTTCGAGAGACCACCAGCAATACTAGGGCATTTCAGCCACGCACTCCGAAATCCCGTCCTCGCAGCCAGAAAAAACACAGAAGCGAAGAAGGAAGACGCTCCTTGGGACGACTGCCTGATAGATGGTTTCCCTTTTTCTTTCCCTGGAGCCTGAAGGAGCCCCTGCGACAGAGTCGGATCCTCTTGACAAATTCGGGCACCACCCTGCTCCCCTCTCCCCGAAGCTTACCTTCCCTGGAAGCCTCCTTCCCTGGCGAGGCAACGACCCTCCCCTCGCCTGCCCTCCTCACACCGTCGCGAGGTTCTTCCTCCCCGCTTCACCCTCGATCTCTGGGAAGCTACGTGTCAGAGACCCAAGAGGAATTACTTCCGGGTTGTGGACGCGAAGCGGCATAACGCAACAGACGTTTCCTAGCGGAAGCCACTCTCTCTCCAACATCTCCATGATCAAACCTTCCAATCGATATAGGGATGCTGGACTCCTTTCAACATATGCGTAGTGAGGTGTCTATGGAGATTCTCAGTCATCCAGGTTCACCATACTCCCAAAGGTGCTTTTTCAGTTGCCTCCTGAAAAAAGCACCTTTGGGATGCGTAGTGAGGGTTTCAAACTCTTGCCTGGAACCCTGTGCTTTCTTGTGGGTCCGCTTATCTAAATGAACGTACAAGCTGAGGTTGTACGTTAAGGGGAAAAGTGATCTACTTTTATATAAATAGTGCAGCTTTGGTAACTATAAGCTGCGATCTGGAAGTAGAAAAACGATTGCTGATATGTAGCATGCTTTTTTTCCCCCCATCAGCACCCCAAATGGTAAAAGGACCTGATCTGTGCACCTTTTATCTAATAGTTTTAGGCTGTGGTATACTTTTTATGGTCCTGTAATATTGTACCAGTTACTCTCTTTCTGCGTTAAAATTTCCAAACTGATATTGCAGAATGCTAAAGTATTAACAGATGGCACTTGCCTGGCTTCTGATCCTTGACTTAGACTTTTTCAGAAGTTTCTGTCGTTTTTGCAGAATGGAAGTTGGCATGCTGTAAAACAAGTTGGCAGCCTCCAGCCTCATCCTTATTTTTGACAACGTCCAATGCTTCGTTTGAAAATAGGTCCACTTGCCCTGAATAGAATGAAGGTTAATCCAGATCATGCAGAAGGGGGAATTATTGGAGCTGACAATACTGGAAATACCTCCCATGGCTGTTGTAGTATGAATGAGAAAATGTTTTACAGATTATTTGTGTGAGTGCCAACAACATGTACTCAAAATTCCAAATGTGCCCAGTAGCTCTCCAAAAGTGAAAATCTCTACTCTGTGGGTCATTATAAAGACTCATTCCCTCTTCATACATTTATCACTTAGTTTAGCTTATAATATTGCTTTTGATAACATATTCAAATACGAAGCTGATGTTTTCGGTGCTTTATATTACTACAAATAAATATAGACTAAAATGAACTTTCTTCATGTAGAAATAAATTACAAGGGGGAAAAAATCCAATGAGCTGGATATTTCCTGCTACTAATGGTCTTGCTGAAGCTTTTCTGCTTGTACCCATAGCCAGAACATCAGACAGGTGGTTTAATCTGGAAATATGTACAACTCATGTTACTGATGAAACATAAATGCTTCAACTTTCTGCCAGCAGTAAGAATTTTTATCTTCTGATGAAGTTAATGATCTGAGTTGGTGGCAGGCCTGAAGGCTACCAAGAAGTTTGCATCTAAGATTGCTGATAGCCTCCACAACTATTCAATTATGTCTGATTCTGATAAACTTCCCAGACAACAGTTTTCTTGGCCATTTTTTTCAGTGGTTTGCTGTTGCCTGTTTCCTAGGACTGAAAGAAAATGGCCCAAAGTCATCTAGCTGGCTTTGTGCCAAAGGAGGACTAAACTCAGTCTCCTTATTCTAGCCTGATGCCTTAACCACTATACAAACTGGATCTCAGTAGCAGTAATAGAAGGAGATTAAATATTTATAATTGTGTCAAGTTCTTCCTCATTTTTCTTTTTCAGCTTTTGTTGAATGATTAGTACAGTGATGGCAAACCTTTATCAGTAGGGACAAACTTCAGTCAGCAGTTTATCAGAAATAATCCTTTATTTGGTATTCTCAGATTACTATTAATCTCAGACTGCTATCACAAGGGGGATGAATAAAAGATATATTCATTTCCATAATAAATAGCTTACCAGTATAGGTATATCATATGGAATATATTTGTTACATACAGTATTTTGAGTGTACAGCCAATAAGACAATACATTGTTCTATTTGTTTTGGTAGTTTATCAAAGATGTTCTATATGGCTGGCTGAGGAATTCTGGGAGGTGAAGCCCACAGGTCTTAAAGTTGCCAAGTTTGAAGACCCCTGGGTTAAACTCTTGACTTTATGCCCTCTTAATTAGAGTTTAATTTTCAGATTTCATTTTTCTACTGGGACTGAGATCATCTCTTGCATCATACATTTCTAGATTTATAATAAGTCATCTCTAAAAGTTGTTCATGAATCACCCATGGATTGAGCAGTAATCTCTTAAAGATGTTGAACCATTTCCAAACATCTGTTTTCTACCTTCTTGTTGCTATTCAGATCCCAGCAAATAATTAGATGTGGATGAGAACATATTCAAATATGTGTCTCAAAAATGTTTTATGTTTTTACACCTGATTTTTAAGGAATTAAAAAAACAAAATATTGAACAATGAATTTTATCGCTGGCAATGAATCAAGCACTGAGTTTATGGAAAAATAGACACAAGTTCCAAGATGCTTCAAACAGACAATCATATCTTCTTAAGCTCAAATGATCTTGGCATTCAAGAACAATGACACTATTTCCCAAATTCTAAATATTTGTATCATTTAAAATAAAAAAAAAATGTTCTCCATGACGCACAGATTCTTATCTTAGACATAGAAAACTCTGTTGCAAGATGAAGAGAAAACATGAGTCTTTTTGGATTTTTTTGTGACAAAATTCTCTCAAATCCATTTGGAGGAATCATCAAATGACAATGAAAGTGTTGCTACCTTCCATTTAAACTGTATTATAAATCAAAGTCTGTCTATATTGTATTGGAAAAGTCAACTTGGCATATATTTTCATATTTTATACTAAAAGAAACATGTTTTGACAACTGTTTTCAATTTCTTTATATGTTCACAATACCACTGATGACCAGTGGGACAGCAAACTGATATTGTTAGAAGCCATTTATGTCCTTTATAAATCTCTCCTTCTGCCCACCAAATTCTAATTAACATCCAATAAAATGCTGCTTACCATACATCCAACAAACATAGGATCAAAAACTACCCCCTTCCCAAATTGTGAAACTTTGCTTTTTGTCTACCAGGGGTAGGCAACCTTGGCTCTTTTATGACTCGTGGACTTCAACTCCCAGAATTCCTGAGCCAACATGGCTCAGCTTGGAAACCTCTCCCTTTTCCCTCAGCATGGCTGGCTCAGGAATTCTGGGAGTTGAAGTCCACGAGTCATAAAAGAGCTGAGGTTGCCTACTCTATCCAAAGCAGAACAAGGAAAAACTATCCTCATTTGTCTTGGGAGGCCATACCAACATTGGATGCTGCTATCATAAGGTTCGTATGCTTGTAAGCAAACTTACAAGCACATTCTTTTAATCCTTATGAATTTCTTTCAGATTATATGTATTATTACTGTTATTTATTTATTTATTATTTCAATTTAGGTAGGTTGAGTAGCTGATCCCCAGTTGGCCAGTGAGATTTCATGTGCCATTGAGATTTCATGTGCCAGTGAGATTTCATGTGCCATTTTAAGTCTGTTTCATTGTAAGTTTCTCAGGGTTTCTCCGGTGAATGGGAATTCATGTTATATTTAAATAAATAAGTGAGGCTGGCCCTTGATGGAGAATTGCCCTCAGCTAATTACATCTCAGCAGCTTGTTTTTTCACTAGTTCTTAGATGCTTGCACTCCATATTACTATCCTTTTCTGCTGCTAAGCTTTAATCCCAAGACATTTCATCAAGCGTGTGTCGTAACTAACCTGCTTTGAAAATAACTTGTAACGCTGGCAGTGTTTCATCACTGTTATTTATTTCAGTTCATGCTGTTAGTGGTTCTGAGAGTGCTTTAGATCAGGTCAGCTACAATAACTTCACTGCAACTCACACCATCTATTGTGGCTTACCATGGAGTGGAAATACTGCTCATAAAAAGCAACGGGGAATTACGATGGAGATATCATACAAAATTTACTGGAGAGGGCTGTAGGTAATTCCTGGCTGGCTGATTATACATGTGGAGTTATGCTTTTCTTTTTCTCATTGGTTGTAATATAAGGAGAAGCAATTCTTTTTACTTTAAAGTTATTCAAAAGAACATTTGCTTATCTTTTATTGTCTCGATTTCTTTTTGCAAGATGGCTTAGCAAAAGTTCCAGTCCTCCCCAATGAATTTACTTTCTTATCATATAGTGTTATTGTTGTATAACTCATTTCCCCCCTGTAAAATGGGTCTTGTGTATTGAATATTTACCTTCAGAATGGCAAAGGAGGGAAGTTTACAAAGACACCTGCATGAAGCCATGTAATATTGATCCTACAAAGCACGGGTGTCAAACTTGCCATGTCACATGACGTGTCGTGACATATCGTGACTTTTTCCCCCTTGCCGGAGCAGGGATGGGCGCGGTTTCCACATGACCCATCCGGCCGATGGGCCGGCAGTTTGACACCCCTGCTACAAAGGCTTCTAAGTTAAATGTTGAGGCTAAAATTGTTACAGTGATTTTGCACTGAAGATTGCAGTCTATAATATTACCTTCACTAGTTTATGTCATGCAGTCTTAAGAAAGGGTATCGGGCTTGGATAATGTGAGATTATTAATGAACATATTTGGTGTCCAATCAGATAAATCAGATTTGGTGATAGCTATTTCATTGGATGCTGAGAAGGGCATTGATATGGTTCAACTTAATTTTTTAGGGAACATCTTGCTAAATATTGTTCTATGTAAGAATAATATTCTTACATAGTAGACTTGTCACAAATGGTATTATTTCTTTTCTGAACAGGATGTTGCATTGAACTTGTAAAACAATGCCTACTTTCTCTTTTTATATTTAGTTTGACTTTGAAATCATTGTCCTCTTTCATTAAACAATACAAAGATATTCTGGTTACTAAGATGGTCAGAGCGGAATACAAATTGTGGTATTATGCTGATGATATTTTATGGCTTACTGACAATTACATTTTTAAACCAAATGTACAGTATAACTGTGGCACAAGATTTTGGTCTATTATCTGGTTACCATTTAAATAATTGGAATGTTTAATGTTCTTACTATGGGATCT